TACCCACCTCGGAAGGCTGAGTCAATTTGAGCCGATGAGAATCGAACTGCTGGCAGTGGGCAGAGTTTGCCTGCAATACTGCCTTCCAACCACTGCGCCACCACGGCTCTTGTGGCGCCGTCAAGTCCTCCCTTCTAGATAACATCCAACTCTCAAGTGCAATTGCGTCACACCTGCCCTCCCCCCCATTGAACGGCCATTAGCTGTGCACGGCAACTTGCCGTTTTCCAAAGACAAAAACAAACCACAGTGGCACGAATTTGGTGGGTTGACCAAAGTGCAATAATTTATTCACATGAACGTCATTTGGAAGTCTCAATTTGGCAGTCAGGAGAGGGAGAGGAGGAGGAGGTGGAGCTCCGTTAACGGAGTGGTGAAAGAAGACGGGAAGGGGAAGAGAAAGAAGAAAGCAAAGTTGGGAAGCTGTGTGAAGGCACAGAGAGAGGGAGAGACAGACGCACGGACACACAGAGACAATCTGAACAGGCCCGCAGGCAACAGCTGAAATGAAGCAGAACCAAACGATGGTTCTCCTTGGAAAAAGGATGTCTTGCGTTTCTTCTTACGTCTTCGCCCACCCCGTCCCTCTCGCAGGGCCCTTCAGAAGAGGCGGGAGCTTAATCCACCTCCTCGATGGTGGGACCAGAAGAGCCACCCCCGGCGCCTCCAGCTCCGGGGAAGCCCCCTGGCATTCCACCCGGCATGCCACCGGGCATCCCTCCGGCTCCTTGGTACAGCTTGGTGATGATGGGATTGCAAACATTCTGGAGCTCTTTCTGCTGATGCTCGTATTCGTCCTTCTCTGCCATCTGAGGAAGGGAAAAAACGGGACCATTAAATGCAAGGAAGCAGAAAATGACTGTCTCATTCTAACGTCCAATAAGAAATAAGACTAAAACCTTCAAAACTCAGAAAGACTTGTGCCAATCAATCAAGGGAGTGCATGTACCATATTTTTCGGACTATAAGACGCACCATAAATAAATCAATATATTTATAGGAATGTCTTGAGCAATTTCAGCCAAACTTGGTACAAAGATGGCTTTCTGTCTGGAAAAAAATACTGTGGGGGTAAGACACACCTCGCGCGTGTGTGTGTGTGTGTTCCAGCATAACTCTGGAACACCTGGGCTGCTGAAATGAAAAGGAATGAAGTATATATCTAATGTCAAATCACAGTACTTTTGACAATGATAGTGTGCCTTAATGTGAGTGTTAGGATACAGCCTGTTGTGCCTTAAGATGGCGTCTACTGTACAGCACAGTGGAGTTGCCATGGTGACAGCTTCACAGTACTCCACAAGGGGGTTCCAACCCAATACAGAATTAGGATAAATGGCTGGTATAACTATAAAGTCTGAGATCCTACACTTCTGTGAAGAACCCCCATGGAAGCAATTAAACAGGAAAGATCTGATTTAACCAACACCCCCCCCCCCAAGTCTTTCCCTGCTCCCTTCACTCACCTGGTTCCTGTCCAGCCAGGAAATGACCTCATTGCATTTATCCAGGATCTTCTGCTTGTCCTCGGGAGACAACTTGTCCTTCAGCTTCTCGTCTTCTGCTGTGCTCTTCATGTTGAAGGCCAAAGACTCCAAGGAGTTCTTTGCAGCTATCTTCTCCCTCTGGACCTCGTCCTCAGCTTTGTACTGTTCTGCTTCTTGGACCATACGCTCAATCTCCTCTTTGCTAAGACGGCCTGGAGTGGAAAGGAAAAAAAGGAGTTAAATCGGGAGATTGAAGCCACACCAGGCTCGCTGCTGTTCTGACCGAGGTTTCGTCAAACCACAGACTCCTTGTCCAGACAAAACCCGCTTTTATTAAACTAATGTGAATTATTCTCTGTCACTTCCAACAAAGCCCTGGCAAACAGTCTTTTTCAAGGGTGAATTCACCACCACAAACCTTATCAGGCTTGGAGAGCTGCCAAGCCGATATCTCCCAAACGCAACCCAAATACTTGGCAAGGAGTCTCTGAGAGTCACGGATAAATCTTCACACTAATTAAGGGAACTAATTGTCTCCAGCAAACTCCACCCTTTCACTCTTCATTCTCTATGGGAGAAGCCATTCACCGTCCACCTGTGCCTTTACTCTTGAGTTGACCCTTGGTTCCTTAACTGTTCCCTTCTCCTGGCAGCTCTACGCATGCGCACACTGGGAACAGGCTCCAGATGTTCTTCTGCCGCACTGATGTCCGACTCCGAAGGCAGCTGATAACTGTCAGATGGCCTTGGCCCCATCTCTGCCTCGGATGCAGAGCCCTCATCAGAGCCTTCCCCAGAATCCAGAACTGGCCCATGTCCCTCCCCAACCTCCTCACTGTCTGAATCTGCTGCCAGCCATACTGGCGGGCCACAACAGCTGCGTACAACCCTTTCCCAAAGCTGGTACTTTCTGGTTGGGCTGGATTTCAATTTCTCAAACCGATTGGGTCCATGGACCAAAACCCCACCTTTATCGTTGGTGATGGTGATCTTGTTCTCCTTGCCCGTGCTCTTGTCCACCGCGGACACGTTGAGGATACCGTTGGCATCGATGTCAAAGGTCACTTCGATCTGGGGAACGCCCCGAGGAGCAGGCGGGATGCCCGTCAACTCAAACTTGCCCAGCAAATTATTATCTTTGGTCATGGCACGCTCACCCTCGTACACCTGTGGGCACACAAAAGAGCAGGGTAGAAAGTCAAGCTGGAGGCCCTTATTTCCAACGCACAATTGATAAAAGAAAACACCGGAATTTGGCTTTAGGGATGGCCCGAGTCCACCGTACAATCCAGCATCTTGTTTATGGCTTCCTTAACCAAGATGACAAAAATATGGCTCTCTGGATAAGACTCCAATGCTGGGAAAGGTGTGAAGAAAGAGGAAGGGACAGCCAGCAGCCAAGTGGATAGATTTAGCAATAGCACTAAAGACTTATATAACGCTCCATAGTGCTTTCCATCCCACTCTAAGCCTATTGCCCCCAACAATCTGGGTCCTCATTTTACCCACCTTGGAAGGATGGAAGGCTGAGTCAACCTTGAGCCTGGTGAGATTCAAACTGTCAAACTGCAGGCAGTCAGCAGAAGTAGCCTGCAGTACTGCACTCTGACCACTGCGCCACCATAGCAATAACACTTAAGACTTATATACTGCTTTTACAGCGCTCTCTAAGCCGTTTACAGAGTTAGCATATTGCCCTGACAATTTGGGTCCTCACTTTACCCAACTTGGAAAGGATGGAAGGCTGAGTCAACCTTGAGCCTGGGCGAGATTCGAACTGCCAAACTGCAGCCAGCCAGCCAGAAGTAGCCTGCAGTGCTGCATTCAAAACACTGCGCCTTCGTTATGCTGACTCTGTAAAGCGCTTGGGGATGATTGGCCCCTCCCATAAGGCATAAAAGAGGAGCGAATGGGCTTTGAGCCTTTGCAGGACGCAATTAGTTCATCTGGTTGGTTCAAGCTGTGAGAAATCCTGACTCTGTGCTAGCAAAACTAATAGGCAATTAGTTCTCTTGGCAGCGTTTCAAGGGAGACAAAGGTGGGTGCTTATCAACATTACCCTGAAAGACTGTGGCAACTCGAGCAGGCATCTGTCGGAATCTTCGCAGACTGTTTTGAGAGTCATTATGGGCTGCGAATGACCATAATTCACAGCCGTATAAATAAAAAAAGAGGGTTTCGGGGACTAAGAGTGTGATTTATGATTTCCCAGGAAGCCTAGATCAGAACAAGTGATCTGTGGTCTTCAGCTTGATAGCAAATCAACCCATATGTTCTTCCACCCTTCCTAGCCCCATTGTGCCACGATCCAACGTTGCTTACCTGAATAAGCACTCCAGGCTGGTTGTCAGAGTAAGTGGTGAAGGTCTGGGTCTGTTTGGTGGGGATGGTGGTGTTTCGCTTAATGAGGGCTGTCATCACCCCCCCTGCGGTCTCAATACCCAGGGAAAGAGGGGTGACGTCCAAAAGTAGAAGATCTTGCACGTTTTCAGACTTGTCCCCGCACAAGATGGCAGCCTGGACAGCTGGAAGAGCAAAGCAGGAAAGTTGGTGAAGATTTAACCCTACATCCCCCTGCAAGAGATAACTTGGATCTTCCTAAGAAGCAACAAATGCAAGACAACTGGATTTTGGTTTTTTTCCTTGAAGATGTCTCGCCTGTCATCCAAGAAGCTTCTCCAGAACTGAAGAATATTAATTAGTAATAATAGATATAACTAAATAAATAATTGATAATGATAATAATGTATACAATGTGTAGTGTTATGCTAATAACTGGATATGAATATTGAATGGTACCCATGAAAGGAAGATTAGAAATCCTTTTGGATTATATACAAAGGTTAATAAAAAAGAACTAAGTTAGATACAGTTAAGTTTTGATTATTAGGGGGGAAATGTTATGATACAGGATATAGTCAAATAAAGGAGGGATAATGATGACAACCT